AGCAGGGGGGGGGGGGGTTAAGAAAATATTAGGTTATAGGATTCCCATTATATCTCTATTATTACCCTCATAAAAATATTGTTGAATAAGTAAATGATGTTTTAGCTCTTTAAAATTATAAATCGAACAAGTCATGACGTCATTTGTTAATGTTCTTCCTTTGAAAAAAAAAATATCTTAGTCACTACTGCCTAATAACATAGTGCACATTGGACAAATTTATTACACACGAAAGCAAAAAAAAGAGAGGCCAGTGGCTGTCCACTGGTAAGGGGAGGAGATGGGAAGGGGAAGCTGTCTGAGAGGGAGGTCTGAAATAGGTTATCTCTACTGTCTTCATGTTAAATAACAGCTATGAATTAATTTTTCTTGTCTTACAGATTGAAGGTCCGTATTCCTGCTCAAGCAGGTATCCAACAAGGAACACTATCGTCGGTTTATCTTAAAGTGCATCTATACGCCGTACGTTAGGCCTATTGGTTAAATTCGTCGTTCGTTTATTACATTTACTACTAATATTGTTGAAATACTGTTGAACTAATGTCGTGAGGAATCGAACGGATATTATCGACCTATTCCTACCTTATTAACTTCATTTAGTAAAAATGTAGCTAGTTCTTGCTTTTTTGATGACTATGTACTTCCATTTTATTATCATGTGCTTCCATTTAACCAATCAATGCTTCCATTCCGTAGGAAATGCCTCCACTGAGGCATATTCTAAACGCATCACTTAATTTCTTAAAATGTTTCGTATGGATATACCAACTGGATAAATTCGATATATAATAATTGATAGTTTATAATTTCTTTGCCACTCCTTGAGAAATCGTAATAAAGTCACAATAGAGCAAGTAAAACGTTTGTCAATTTTTCTAACCAGTAAATTACTGATCGTCTTTGATATTCTGCCAAAGCATAAAATGATATAATTAATTTAAAAATCAATTTTAGCAAACGAATTAACAAATATTACTAGTCGTTTGAACTCTGTTTTGATTGAGAATATTACAAGACTGTTGACATAGGCCTACACATACTATATAATAATTCAATACAACATCGTACAAAGATAAAAATACGAATGACAATACTGTAATAATAATGATGATGATATGATGATGATGATGATGATAATGAATCGATGATGATGATGTTGCTGACGATGATGTTGATGACGATGATGATGATGATGGTAACGACGACGATAACGATGACGATGATGTATGATCATACTGATAACAATTATAATAATAAGAATAAGAAGTAATAAGGAATATGATGACGATGATGATATTAATATTAGCGATAAATAATAACTTACAGTATACAGAAGTATTTGCAGTATTAGCCTTGTATTTCTTATAATTTTTTTTGAAATTTTACATTTTGTTGATCCACACCAGAAATTAACTCTCTCTGTACGCCCAGTGTTTACCTATAATCTATTTTTCAAGCTTGTTCCAGATCTATACAATAACCAAGGAGTAATGTGATATACTTCCTCATATACACTACGTAATTCATCATCGCTAAATAAATTTAGAGCACATCTCCCCCGGCATTAACATGCTCAAAAGATGACCGGTTTATGGATTTCAGGGAGTTTTTAGTCATCTATGATACACAAGGCAAATTGTAACATAGTGTGCAGTATGATAATACAATTAGGGTACAATTCTTGGCCCGAGGAGTAGGTGGAAAACATCACTTTATTCTGAAAATCAGCTTAAAGAATAATTATTATATTGGTTGTGTTTTTAAGTAGTGATTATAGGCAGATGGGAACAGATGGCGATTGAACAACATGGTTAAACAAGTAATTTATGAACCTTTACCAAAATCTTAAGAATATTATATATCTTATGCAGCATATGGTTGAATTGGTCTTGGACTCAATGATCCTCTGCTAAATTGACTGAAACAAATGGAAAGGCTGTTCGTGGCCTCATTAACTCTGCTTGTGAATTGTGAAATATATATCCTACATAATAAAAAGATCCTTAATCACGTTCCACAGAAGAAAGCAACTTAAATAGTTTATAATGCAAGTTGAAGACAAATTGTCACGATCCTCTCCTCCTTACGAAACAAAACAACTTTTTTGGCAATGGAACAAGTTGGCGTGAAACCGGTCCGTGATTTTTTTATTCAGCAGAAACCACTAAACCAGCATTGCTCTTAAAATTGAGAAAGTTGTGATGCCGTTGTATGGCAAGCCAAATGTTTCATTTAGTAAAACTCCAGTGTAAAATCGCTACGAAGTGGATACAGCCTTTTTTGCACCGTGCGTATGCCTGACGCAATCGAAAAGGCTCCGCGATTTTTGACCGACCAATCAGTATCGCAGAAAGAAGTAGGGATAGCCTGTAGCGATTTTATGAAAACCTGACATAAGCTTGCCGAGATTCAGCAATATCTGAAGATAGGCCTATAAGGAAGATCTCAAACAAGGTAGTAAACGATCTGTTCTGTAATTACAGTACTTCCAATTGTTACGGAGTTATGTTAAAATGATTGCTGTCCAATATTAGTATTCATGGCCCAAGTTGTCATATATACACTTTATTATCATTTTGAAAAATCATTATCAAAATTTGAGTAGAATTTTCTCTTTTTTTCTCAATTTTTTATTTTGAAAAATTTAGGGGGCACCTCCGCTAATCCGCCACTGGGTATGGTTTCCAATATTAGTAGGCCCTATTCATGGTCCAAGTTGTCATATATATATACATTTTATTATCATTTTGTATATATTCAATTACTGTTCAATTTAATTGTAGGCCCTAAACTGTAGCCAATAAGAGAAAAAAGCAATAAATTTTCTCACTATTCGACTGTTTGATGTTTTCATAGTAAAGAAATATGAATGTTAAGCAATGTAAACGCATCCACAACCTCAATTCTCATGAACTTTAGCTTATAGAATATTACAGTTCCACTGCAGAGTTTGAGATGTTGACAGCATGGACAAGCATTGATATTTCAAAGGAGATAAAAAAAAAACACAGGACACATTTTAAAGCAGTTTCAGTGGTTAATCACTGAGTTAAATACTTGCTATATCTTAATTACATATGAAATGTTACACTAAAAGTGTAAAAGTAATTAAGTTTCGTACACAAATTGCACGTATATTATCACCAGTAGAGCTTGGATTCAGTGTAGGCCTGCATTAAATATGGCTAGTAATAGAACCTTAAGTGGGTGAAAGATGAATAAACTGTCTACGGATTTAAAACAGAAAAGATAATGTATATACAGGTAATTCATATTTACACCTTTCTTTAATAAAAGCAGCGAATTAGCTCTGATTACAGCAGACTACAGAAAATTCATACCTGGAAACTTGTAGGAGTACAATAGGCCTATAAGTAGTAGCAATGGGGAAAGCATTTGTGTGTCTTCTGATCGGTGCACTGGCTCTAGGAGTCGTTTTACCAGTAAGTAGGCCTAACGAATTCAGTAGGCTTCTTTAAGTTCTTTTGGACAGTTCATACATATATTTATACAGTGCTCGTATAGAGAAACAAAAACAAATCTCCTGCTTGGCCGTGCGAAAAAATGTTTCTGGTGGGCTTCGAACCTACGACCTTTCGCTATAAAGAGCGTCATACCACAGGAATACGAAAGCCTTTTGGTTGTGAAATACAATATTCTATCCGAGCTACATATACATGACCTGACAAAGTGAGGATGTATTCAGAACGCAGAATTTTAGCAGTAGCAGCAGAAATTATATGGTAGTAAATTAACATTTAGACGGTAGTTTGCGTTTAGAGTGAACATAAATATAAACAAATGGGTAAGTGATAGAAAAAATGCTCGGATATGTAGCCTGTAGGAACAAATGATGTTAATTTAACGTATCAGGTTTAACCCTCCATCAAAAAAAAATGTGTGAATCAATCCTGCGACCTCTCGCTATCAAGGTGGGCGTCATATTGTTATATATATATCTCTCTTTGAAGCAAAACTATAAACTTGTTCTGGTGTATCATGTACCTCTTTAACTTCTTGGACCTACATTAACAAGTAGTTTGATTACTAGCTTAATTAACGTAGTAGGAATAATTAACATAAGTTGATAAACATCATAATAATTGTAGCTTTATGAAAGTCCTGTGTATTTCGTTATTTAATGTTGTATCATTATCTTCTTTAACAGCTTGAGAGAGCATTGGTAAATGGTAAGTAAGTTTTACAACATTAATATAAAATTGTATACGGTAATAAAATATTATCATTCAAATTTTTATATTTGTATTATTATTATTATTATTATTATTATTATTGTTGTTGTTTTTACCAACAGCTAAAGAATGCCAAGATCACCGAGACGATTGTAAAACTTTCAAGGGTTGCGATGACCCGAAGTCCGCCTTGGCTGCGACAGGGTGCTTAAAGACGTGTGGGTTTTGTGGGTGTAAGTACTATGATTACTTCAGCAAATGATTCGTCGCTTTTTATCTGTCTGTTATATAGGACTACGCAGAACTATTGATTAATTATAATAATAATAATAATAATAATAATAATAATAATAATAATAATAGTAATAGTGATGATGATGATGATGATGATGAGGATGATAGTGATGATGAGGGTGATGGTGGAGATGATGATGAGGATGATGATGATGATGATGATGAAGATGAGGATGATGATGATGATGGTGATGGTGATGGTGATGGTGATGGTGATGGTGATGACGATGACGATGACGATGACGATGACGATGATGATGATGATGATGATGATGATGATGATGACGGTATCCGTCATAGACGCTCATGGCGCATTGAAATGTCTAAGCTATAGGCCTAGATAAATAAATAAATAAATAAACAGTTTAAAAAAAGAAACGCGAATGCCAAAAACAAGGGTGACAATTGACACAGAAAAACCGAAGGTGACCAGGATGGGACTCTTTGTTTGAATCGTTACACCATCAGACCTCGAAACAGCGTCGCTGTCACACCCATGTGCACGAAGGTACACTTTAGCCAGTATGCTGGGCTCCATTAACTTCCAACTTGGAATAACCCCTTGGCTCCACTACCGTGCATAGAGGCGGATCCAGAGATGTTCAAAAGGGTGTGGGGGACGAAAGGGGCCAATCGAGACAACACTGTCCTAGGGGGTCCGGAAAGTTTTGAGTTCTAGACGCCCGAAAATAACATTTGAGGCGTTCTGGGCTATCAAGACAGCGACGCTGTCGAGATAAAAAAATAAATAAAAAATAAAAAAGAAAGTAGGTCAAATAAAAACTGGCCACCAAGAAATGAGAATGCATCATCAAAACAAAATTAGTAGAATGGTAGGCCTACTCATTGATCTGAGAAAGAGGTGATTAAGTTTTGGAGTGAACGGGTCAAAGTCACAGACATTTCGAATTTCTCTTGAAACCCCTCCATTATAAAGGAAAATAAAGGAATCACCCACCTCGCCCATAAACGCTCTGTGCGTGTAGGCCTATCATTCGTTATTATTCCCGCACGTCACGCACGGGGCGGAGGTAGGTATGTCCAGTGGCGGCTCTAGGACATATTTTCTGGGGGGGGGGGTGGCTGAACTGTCCGACAGGGAGACTTGAGCTGGGGGAAGGGTTCGAGAGGGGTCTCTTATACACATCTAGATGTGTATAAGAGACAGGTCCGACAGGGAGACTTGAGCTGGGGGAAGGGTTCGAGAGGGGGTTCTCCCTCCCAAATGAGATTTTTTTAAAAAGAATAGGAACCTCTGGATGGCCAGAAATGACACTCTCAGACTGTAAGACAGACGTGTGCTGGCTTGGCGTGGGCCTATTTTATATCTTTTTGACGCTGACTGCCCGATGAGCTCTGTCTAATAGCGGAGCTTGACCTGTCTGGTGGGGGACTTAAGTCCATGCTGCCTCCACCCCTGCTGCCGCCGCCACTGGGTATGTCCTATATGAAGTAACTGCACTATTACATGTTTACAATATTAGGCCCTAATAGCATTATAAGTTGTTATTTGCTTCCAACAGCTACGAAATGCCAAGATTACCGAGACGATTGTCAGAGTTTCCAGGGTTGCAATGATCCGAAGTCCGCCTTGGCTGCCACAGGGTGTTTAAAGACGTGTGGGTTTTGCTAGTGTAAGTTTAAAAATGATGAAAACGTGAACCCTGTCGTGCTATTAATTTTGTGTCAGTAATATTAAGCCGCCTTTTAATCTAAAGTAAGTAAATCTTTGTCGAAGAACTATACAGCCATTATATATAAATATATGCTGTGAGACAAATCATTGCTCTTTCAGAGCCCTCAATAATATAATAATTATTAAATAAACTAAACAAAAAATAAAGTAAAAAAGAAAAAAAAAAAAGATACAGTACGTTATAAAGCTTCAAGATGTACTTCAAATACCATTCTTTTTCATCCGCAGGATGAAACTAATAGAGGAATCGTAAAGACGAAACCAGGACCACCAATGTCTGTCTTTGATTTAATTATTAAACCAGGCCTATTGTTTTCCTGGTCTAATATTATATTTGTTTGCCTTTTATAACTATAGGAGCTTACTCGTGTAAAACATAATGTACCCTACATTCGAATTTTTCATGGTGTAATGATGAGATGCTTAAAGCCGGACACTCACTGCGTCGTACGACCGTCAGCCGACGAATCCAACTCCGCCTCCTGTGAGCGTTAGACGACGCGACTCCATCTATTGATTGTCGGTGGTATCGTCATAAGAAACGATCCGTTGCGCGAGCGTCGTCCCGTTGCGTTCTCCATAGAATCGCGTCGGACAACGACCGTCGGGCGCAGTCAACGTGTCCGGCTTAAGTGGCGGCAATTTTGATTAAAATGGATGATGCATTTTGGAAATTAACTTTAACAGTCAGCGAGTTTTGCGTATGTAGTCCTGTCTGCTAACATCGAGCGCCAGTGGTTTTTTGACGTCCAATCTGAATTACTTTTGCTCCATTAGTTGTGCCTATGAATGGAAATCGATAATAAATATGATAAGCTCCGTCTTTATGATGTGCGTGTGTGCAAAGTTTCATTGTAGGCCTATATACAGCTTTCGGCTTTAAGCCCCTTTAGTGCACAACAGTTACATTCAAGCATTACAGTATGACACCTTTAACAAGCTGAACATGAGGATGATGATGATGATGACGATGATGGGGATGATGATGACAACAAGGATTATGATGATGATGATGATGAAGATGAAGGTGGTGATGCTGCACGTGATGATGATGATCATAATGAAGAATGATGATGATTATGCTGAGGATGATGATGATGATTATGAAGATGATGATGATGAGTATGATGGGGATTATGATTATTATGATGAAGATGACGATGATGATGAGTATGAAAGGGATGATGATGATGAGGATGACAAAAATGATTATGAAAATGATGAAGGTGATGTTGCTGCTGATGATGATCGTATAATAAAGATAATGCTAATGCTGAGAATAATGATGATGATTATTTTAATTAATATTATTATTATGATAATAATAATAATATTAATAATATTAATAGTAATAATAAATACCCCAGTCATTGGAACAATGCCTATGGGAGAAATTCCATTGTTTACTGCATAATATCAGACCATTTTGCATCCTGGGTGGAGAGAAGCAATGCAGGTAAAGTGCCTTGCTCAAGGACACAAGCGAAATTCACAGCAAGCCTGAGTGGAAACCGAACCGTTCCCGCTGCGCCAAACCACTTTTATGATGACTATGATTATCATTATGATGGGGATGATGATGATGATGATGATGATGATGATGATGATGATGATGATGATGATGATGATGATGATGACAACAAATGAAGATAATAAGGAAGGTGTGATGCTGCTTTTGATGATGATCGTAATGATGAAGAAGATGATGATGATAATGCTGAGCATGTTGATGCCGTTTATTGCATGCAGCATCCTTGCTGTATGCAGAGAACATGCATGTATTATAATACGGACAATACTTCTATTATCTTCTTGAAATAGTAAATTACTGTAATTAGTATACTTACCCGTTTCTACGAACTTCTCGTTTACACTTAATAGCTATTGTAAGTAGAATGGATAAAGTTAAAGAGCAATAAAACGAATAAGTAGTTTTTGTAATGATAATAACAAGCAATTATGAAAACCGGGGTATTTCGTAGCATTAGATGATAGGCCTATTTCCCTTTCGGTCAACTCTAGATTCTTTATATTTCTTTTCCTTAATGAACGAAACCGTATTTTCAAAAGCGATGGACCATTTCAGGGGCGGATCCAGAAGTTTTGGTTAGGGGGGCTATAGGTATATGTGTACTATTCTATATATATCTCTTATACACATCT